ACAATCCGTACAGTGGGTAGCAAGTCTGTAAGGAGAGGATGGGGTGTCCTGAGAAGGCTGGTCTCAGGGAAACGGGCTCAGGGTTTGGGACCCCTGGGTTCAAAAGACTGCCAAGTTTGGGATTTCCCCAGGTTTGCAGTGTGCTTAGGTTTGGTGTCTGAGGACCCATGGATTCAGGGATTCGGAGTTTAAGAGTATGTGAATTTAAAGTCCCTTGGCAAGTCACACCTGTAATCACAGCACTGGGGACAATGCAGGAGGACTGCCAGTAAGTTCAAGGCCAGCCTGGTCTATCTGAGACCCTGTCTCAAAAAGCAAAAACAAAACACCAAAAATAAACAAACAGGGATGGCAAGATGACCCAGTGGGTGGGTAAAGGTGCTTACTACCAAGCCTAAAGGCCCGAGTTCGATCCCGGGGACTCACATGATGGAAGGAGAGAACAGACTCCTACAGAGTTGTCAGAAGCATGCCCCTTCACAAATAAATAAATAAATACATGTAAACAAGCGCCCTAACGTTAGGATTGCTCAGAACTTGAGAGTCTTCTGTTTCATCGTTTCCCAGATTTGTGGATTCCTAGTGTGGTGTGAGGGTGTCAGATCTCCTAGAACTAGAGTTACAGACAGCTGTGAGCTGCCATGTGGGTGCTGGGGATTGAACCCAGGTCCTCTGGGAGAGGAGCCAGTGTCCTTAACCACTGAGCCATCCCTCCAGCCCCTACTTTTCTTTTAAATACATTCCAAATGTTATTGTGTGTACATATGTAGTGGTCTTGCCTGTGACGGTGGCCGCACCCCTTTGGGCGTGGCTTCAGGCACAGGGAAGCAGAAAGAGGGAAGCTTGAGGCATGGCTTCCTTTACCCACTTTGGTACCCCTGAAGCCACACCCAAAGGGGTGTGGCCACCGTTACAGGCAAGACTGCTCTCTCGCTCGCTACATGCTTACATTTGTGTGTGGGTGCACACTATGGTGTAGGAATGGAGGCCAGAGAATAACTTTTGGGCCTTGGTTCTCTCCACCATAAGGGTTCTGAGGACTGACCTGGCTGGGGTCATCAGGCTCAGTGGGTGGCATGTGCCTTTACCTGATGAGCCACCTCACTGACATAGTTCTGAGATTCACTAGGTTTGGGGAGTCTTTGCACTTGGGACCCTTATAGCTTTGGTGGCTTCGATCGTGGGAATCACTGCGTCTGGGGGGTTTAGACTCTCCAGGTTTCAGTGTCCTTGGGTCAGTAACTTACCTCTGCGGCCCAGGTGGATCTGGATTCGTCCCTCGCCCAGCCGGTTCCTGGCACTGCAGTTGAAGCCCCTGGTAAAGTCAGACTCCTGGGTCCCAGAAATGTGTAGCACAGAAATGAGGCCTGTGCCGCGTTCTCCGTCCACCTCCGGGGCTGGGAAGGTCTCCACCAGGAACCTGCCTAGTGAACCTGCCTCCAGGAAGCCCTCG